CTCCTGCCAGGAGGTCCTCTGGCTGCCTGTGCGTGCAAAGGGGGTTGTAGGGTTCGGAGTTCAGTTTAGGGTTTAGGGTTTAGGGTTTGGGGTTTGGGGTTTGGAATTTAGGGTTTAGGGTTTAGGGTTTAGGGTTTAGGATTTAGGGTTTAGGGTTTACCCGAATCCCCAATCCCAAAACCCCAAACCCTCAACCCTAAACCCGCCCTGTAAACCCTGTCAACCCTGAACTTTCAGGGTTGGGTTAAGAGTGCGTGTAAGGGCCTCTTAGGGTCCTCACCCCTATCCCTCCCCGGCCACCCTTGCCCCAGACCCTAAACCCTAGACCCTAAACCCTAAAGCCCCTGCCCTGCCAATCTGTCGCTGGAGCCTGCTCCTTTTACGGGGTCGGCGGAGGCGCAGAGGACCAACCTGTCCATTTGAGGTGTTTAGGGTTTAGGGTTTAGGGTTTAGGCGCTTCGGGATTTCAGAATTCCCGACTCCAAGCAGCGGGAGCTATCAGAAGTCGTGTTGGGGCTTCCTGGTGGGCCCCTCTTGCACGCGCTCTCCCCTTCTTCCGACAAGCCCTCCAATCGTTGACACGTAGACTTTGGGATGTTCCCCCTTAGAATACGGGGCACGATAATCCCTCTTAAGGACTGCTAGAAAAAAGGGGGTGAAAATTAGATTCTAGATGCGACATGGAAGAGCTCCTTTGGGATGATTCTACGATCAGGGGGGATTCTGTCCTGGACCCCCCTAAACTGGGTGTGGCGCAGCCCCAAGTCCCTCCTTCAAGCAAAAGACTTCCGCGCGAAGTTTCCAAACCCGGAACCCTTTAACCCCAACCCCAAAACTACGCAATCTTGAACTGTACTTGGATCGTCGGGGCTGGTTGCAACCAGATAAGCCGCATGATGTGGTTCACTTGGGCTTGCAATTGGATAGCCCACATAGCCTATGTCGACTTAGCACGGTTAAGATGAGATAACTTAGCTCACTTAGCTAAGTCGACTTAGAGCACTTGTGCTAAGTAGGGTAAGTAGACTTAAGACACTTAGTTCAATCTGTCACCTCGGTCAGGAAAGTTTATGGAAACATAAACTTGGCCACGCGCAAGTTTAGGGAAACATAAAGTTTCCAGGGGCCGACTTATAGAAACATAAAGTTTCCGCGTGTAAGTTTACGGAAACATAAAGTTCCCATGCGCAAGTTTATGGAAACATAAACTGGCCCCCCAGTGCGCTATGTGGACTGTAAGTTGACTTAGCGGACTTAGCCTTCCTCTGCCAAGTGGTTTAAGATGCAACTTACGCAACTTAGCTGTGTGGCGGACTATGTCCTCTATGTTGACTTGTCCACTTACAGGGTAAGTGCTCTATCTTCTTATCAAACTGGCCAACTGGTTAACCCCCAACTCAGCCAAGCCGTATGTACTTAGCAAGTCCAAAGCGCACTTCTAACCACAAAGCTTACTTAAGCTGTTACTTAGACCACTTATAACCTAACTTAAACAACTTATCAAGTCTCTTACTAAGCGAGCTATCCGCCCTATGTGGTTATAACCCAGAGCGATGATCCAAGTAAACCTTAAACCCCTTATCGCGGGACTTGACTCGCAGGCAGCGGCCGGTGAATTCGATGAGGCGCCGCTTCCAGACCCGAGTGTTTGCAACCTTGAAAAGAAGTCTCAGATTCCTAGTGCTCGTGGCCTTCAAGAAGCTGCGGCAGCATGCATGCCCAACCATGCCAGATTTGGACATCAAGCCATCCAGGCAAAGGCTTCGACATAGGTCCGTGTGGCAAGCAGCTACCGCCCCGGAACCCACTATTGTTGTCGGGTTCGATAACTTTGTAAAAGTCGAGTAAAGTGAATTTGAATATGAAGTTTGAAAGGAGCTTTGTTCAAATAAGTAAGCTAAGGTCAATATTCGCTACCACCCCAGTTTTACGAATCTAATCGGTCCTCCCCGGTCCCTTCAACGCGATGTTTCCCTTAAATCGGGAATTTTCGCACCACTCGGTGCGGGAGAACAAAAACAGCTAAAAAACAAAGAAAATATACAAATCTGGTTTCCGAGGAGTAGCAAGAATTCTGTCGTACCCGTAGGTTCCACGCTCGCAGCACGCCAGGGAATTATTCGGGGTTCGCGAGATTGCGGCTATTACAGGCAAGCTGGCTGGCGTTCTTCCTCACCGGCCACCCTTCGACCGAGAAGTTCGTCCATCTCGTCCTGTGCCGCCTCTGGGGCAGTGCATAACGAAGGATGTTTCTAGTGGTTTGGCCGGGCTATTTTGGCCGGAAGTTAGCGGAATTGGAAAGGGTGTTTCATAGCTGCGGTGGGCGGCGGGGTTGTTTGATTTGCTATTTTGCTGATGCATCAAAGAGAGGCCCACACCGAATCGCGCCGCAAACCAAAACCTCGATCAACATGACAACAGCACGCGCGGTAAACCGACACGAACTGCAGGACCTTACGAAACGGCGTCCGGATGGAAGCCCGCTTCAGATCTGAGATAAGTGACAAATGAGGGGGCGTGTTTCAGATTTCGGCCATTCAGCATCGTTTGCAAGCCCCGTTGTATACTGCAGAAATGTAGGGTGGGAGTCGGAAACTTCTTCAGCCTGACGTCACGGGTTGGGAGAACAGTACTAAATGGCCTTCCCGTCCATAATCAGGCCAGAGATATTCTTCGCAGCTGATGAGGCTTTCCAGCCGCTGCTTCATCCTAACCTTCAGAATATTTACGCCCCATTACAACAAACCCTACATTCAATACAACTTTAAGATTCTCTCGTTTGGCTCTGGTTGGCGGTCACGTCTCCATTTCAGTATCATCTGCTGGCGGAGGCAGCTGAACAAGAACTCGTATCTGCCACTAAAATACGCTGATCGGAAACGCTAGCAGCGCCAATTGGCTCAGAGTGCGCAGCTGCTAATCTGGGATACGAACCCATTGTTTTTGAGAGCATGGGACGTTTGGAGGTCGGAGAGATCGGGCTCCTCAACGGATATGCGCTTTGGCTGATGAGCGTCAACATCGTCGCCAAGGCGAGGCGTCTCAAGAATGCGTGATCAGGTTGAGTTTGATCTGCAACGTTGGCTCCACAGAGCAATTACTGGACAGCATATGACCCGTTCGGACCACATAGAAGGACCGAACGCAGTGGAATCTCTGTGTTCGTTGATACATCACCGGCTGCGACTCCGCCCAACGATCTGAGAATGATGATAAGTTCTGGAGTCCCGCTTTAGTGTCATTGTTTCCTGGGCTCCGTGCATTCCCATAATTCGGTGTGGCGGCGGGTCTTTTCCTGTGGGAGTGCAGAGGGCCTTTGATTTCGTTGGATGTGTTCGTGGCTGCCGAATGGGAAACTTGTAAGGCTGATCATCTATCTTTTATCATTCTTATGGAAGCAGTGATCTCTCATGAATCCTGATGCCGAATTTGCGTTTGAATTTGATTTAGACGATATTTAATTTGTGCTTTGGGAACACAAGTTTCTCTATTTTTGCTACCGCGGTTACAAACGATTTCTTCTTCTAAAATCTTGGCTCGACCCGCGCTTTGTTGGTGAGGGCCAGTGAGGGTTTGGGAGGGCTGGTTTCGGCTTGTGCTATCGAGGTGTCGCGCTTCGGCCGCCCCGCACGTGTCAGGGCGCTGAATTTTTGAGGTTAGGATTTCGGAATTATTTCTAGAACACACCTGACGATTCACCAAATAGAAAATCACTTAGAAAGGCCATGGAAAATCAACATAATATGAATTAGTTGGTTTAAAAAGTAATATTGGAAATCCAAAAAAATAATTCAAAAGAAAACGGAAATACAAAATAAATAACATTCTAAGAATAATTATGGAAAAATATTTTACTTCGAATATTTGTATTTGTCTTGGTCGGGATACTTTGGGTTTGTTCGAGAAATAATGGATACTCGAGAAAATTCTGGGTTGGGAAATCTTTCGTGAAACTCTGGGGTTGGGTTTCGGGGTTCGAGAATAAATCTAATTAGTCGGTGCAAGTGGCATCTGTACTTAAAAGCACCAATCAGAATCCCAAGGCTCGAGACTATTGTTCGCAAGCCTAAGAGACGTAAGCGTAACCGAAGGGTACAAAAGACGTCTGCTCTCAAAAACACTAGTGCGTCTAAGTTTCGAGACCATACATCAAATCAGAGTGAAGGAAGGCTTTGGCTTCTCTCATTCCTGCGGACAATCCAAGATAGGATCTTAGTTCAAACAATTCCATGCTTGGGTACTTTAGGGAGACTTGGAAAAATCTGGGGTTGCTCATTCTACGGATATTTTGGATTGGGTCTTCTGGGGAGACTCTGGGATTGGGCTTCTGGGTTTTAGTGAGAAGAATAAGAAAGCAAGAAGAATGGAAAATATATTCAAAATACACAATAAAACCTTAGAAATTCATGAAAACCATTTGAAAACTAAGAAATACCCAACAGAATGCAAAGACCGAGACCCGAGAACAACAATGGGCACATGCCCATTTTGGGGGGGGAATCTTTTGCTGCGGCAGTCACCTCTATTCTAGAGGTTTAGCATAGACCCCCTAAACCCTAAACTGCTAAACCCCCCCAAGCCCCCCTAAAACCTAAGCCCCAAACCCCAAACCCTACACAAGGGTTTAGGCGGGTTCCTGCGGTCAGCGACTCACCCGGTTCTTGCCCAGAGCGTCGCTGGTGCAGCGAGATCCGCAGTTTGCAGACCAAAAGCCCAAGCTTCAAACAGGCTTAGGGCTTAGGGTTTAGGGTTTAGGGTTTCAATTAGAGTCTATCCTACATGCCGTCGCACAGAGAAACCGGGCCACTCCTCGAACATGGACCATTGGGAATTCTCCGGAGGCGCCCAGGCTCGGCATCCTGAAGACCATACGAACCCGCGGGGCAGGGTTTAGGGTTTAGGGTTTAGGGTTTAGGGCTTAGGGCTTAGGGCTTAGGGCTTAGGGTTTAGGGTTTAGGGTCTAGGGTCTAGGGTTTAGGGTTTAGGGCTTCGATCGCGCCATGCCGGCGCTGTGCGTGACGCTGATCAGCGGCAAGAGCGTGGTGGAGTTACTGGGCCTCCGTTTAGGGTTTAGGGTTTTAGGGTTTAGGGTTTAGGGCACTTTTCCTGCTGTTCCGGCTTTTGGTGGGGTCCCTGGAAGTTAAAGACTGTAAGGTACAAGCACGGCCCTAAACCCTAAACCCTAAACCCGCTTGTGCTCGCTCATGGCGTTGGAGGTGTCAAAGCCCTGCTTCGGGTTCTAACGTGCTTTTCTATGCCGGAGCCAACCCGAATCCTTCAACCTTAGACCGCTCCAAGCTCCCAAAAGCACTGCAAACGGGCTTAGGGTTTAGGTGTTTGGAAAGAAAAAGTTCAGGTTTAGGGTTTGGTGCGAAGGAAACCTGGATGTTCCGAGTGCTCCAGGGTCTCGGCTTTCGGGGTTTCAGGTTTCAGGGTTTCAGGGTTTGAGGGTTTGAGGGTTTGAGGGTCTGTGGTTAGAGGAGCAACGAAGCTCCGAAAAGGCCCAAATTCCGACCTAGGTAGCGCTGTGGTCCCTCACGTCCAAACCGTAGAAACAACCCCAAGCCCAAGCCCCAAATCCTGCGAACCCTAGAAACCGAAACCCTGGCCTCAAGCCCGAAACCTACATACTCTAGACACCCCAAGTCCCAAGCGTAAACCTGAAGAGCAACCCTCAAGAAACTTAAGCCATAGCTAACCCCGTATTTGGGGGGGGGGGGGAGGGGAGAAGCGTGGAGACGTTTCCTCAACAGAGACTGTTCCAGCATGCCGCCCTTAAAGTACCCCTCTAAACCACAAAACCCTACATGCCCACAAGGCAAAGCCCCAAAACCCTAGAAACGCGTAAACACCCAAGCCCGAATGGGAGGTTCAGGGTACTTATGGTGATAATTGGGTTATAAGTACAGTCATCGTTGGGTTACTAAATACCATGAACCTCCAAGTAAACCCTAAACCCTAAACCCTAAACCCTAAACCTCAATAATCGTTTGGGAGAATGCAGGCTTGATGACTTCGAAGGCGAAGAAGGGAGACAGCCTGTTATTGTCCTGTTGATGTTTGAATGATTTGGGTTTGGGGTTTTGCGTTTTTGGGGTTTGGGGTTTTTGGGGTTTTGGGGTTTGAGGTTTTGGGGTTCGGGGGTTTAGGATGTTTAGGGTGTCCAGGGTGTCCAGGGTTCAGGGGAGCTCCTCTACCCATAAACCTACGAAGACATCCTGTAAAAGCCTGTAAGCTTACAGAGAAAACCACTAAGTCCCTTCCTAGACCCTAAACCCTATACGCGTAACCCTAAACTCTAAACCCTAAACCCTAAACCCTAAACCTAAACCCTAAACCCTAAACCCTAAACCCTAAAACCCAAACCTGCCAGGCCCCGGCTGTGACTTGCGGGTGCTCGTCGCCTATGAGTTGCGGGTCTCGCCTGAGCGGGTGAAGCTCTTGGCAGGCGGGGCGGCTCTGAATTTTCGGGTTTAGGGTTTAGGGTTTAGGGTTAGGGGCTCTAGTTACCTATACAGCTTAGAAGTAAATGCCCCTGATAGTTCGCGGGTGCAGGTGAATAGAGTCCCAGGTAGGGCGTAGGGGCTTCGCTTAGGGTTGTCGGGGGTTTGGGATTCTACGTGGACGTGGGGTTAGGGCAGGCTACTGGTATGGCTTGCAAGAAAACATCTTGGTCAAGAAGATGTTCTGAGAAAGGGTTCATATTCGGAGCTACAAACATCGTCCGCGGCGCGTTGTGTTACCATGTAGCCATATCGGAGCTCAGTATGTTTGCAGGCGAAAAACCAAAATGTTAGGGTTTGGGATTTATGGTTTATTGGTTGGCGACCCTAGACCCTAGACCCTTAAGGTTTAATGTTTAGTAGTCAAGCCCGTCCAGGCAGCAGGGAAATCACGAATGAGGAGAGCCTCAACAACGAGGTGGTCTCGTCTATTTTCCCTTGCCTTACGATCCCTAAACCCTAAGCACCGAAACCCTTAACACCCAGAACCCTCAATCTCAGAAGCCAAAGCCTAAACCCTGAACCCTGAACCCTAAAACCTGATCCCTAAACCCTAAACCCTAAACCCTAAACCCTAAACTCCTCCAGGTGGGCCAAGTCACAGCCATGGTGGCAGAGGGGCAAGAGCTGCCGGGGTGGTGCCAGGAGAAACTGCTCGGCTTCTTCTCCTTTGTGGAGGTGTGGTTGTTCAGGGGTTTAGGGTTTAGGGTTTAGGGTTTAGGGTTTAGGGTTTAGGGTTTAGGGTTTAGGGTTTAGGGTTTAGGGTTTAGGGTTTTGGGGCTCAGGGTTCCCGAAGTCAGCCTGGAAAGGCTTGCAGGTTACGCCCGCAATGCGCAACTCCAAGCGGAAGGCGGAATCCCCTCAACCAAGTCCTAACCCATCAACCAAACCCAAATTCGAACAACCCTAGACCAGTTGCAAACATTCTCAACACAACACAAACACACTCATATGAACAGCGTAGGGTTTACGGCCTTGTGTTTCAGGATTTCAGGGTTCATGGGTTCAGGATTTAGAGTTTCAGGGAGGAGGGAGTCCCAAATTTTGGGGAGTTTAGGACCCGCTTGAGCTTAAACCCCGAAAGCCCCTAGAAGCTCTTCAAACTTAGTCCGTCTAATTGCTTAGTATCCCCTCGAAATCCGAGTATGCTCCCCGTAACCCACCTTACTTACTAAGTCAAGAAGGGCTTCCAAGTAGCCCTAAACCCTAATCCCTAACCCCTAAACCCCTAGACCCCTAAACCCCTAAACCCCGAAACCCCAACACCCTAAACCCTAAACCCCTAAACCCCTAAACCCCTAAACCCCTAAACCCCTAAACCCTAAACCCTAATAACAGGCTCCAGGAGTCGGCCCGCTTCCCGAAGGGTCGGAAGAGATCGACGCCCAGATGATGGGCCACGTGCTGATGCTGGCGATGCAGCGCTTCGGCAGGAGGACGCGGCACAGGCGCCTGGAGCCTTGAAGCGGGGGTGTTGAGGGCTTTTCGGGTTCGGAGCCCTCTTACTTGAAGGTTTAGATTGATGATAAGTAAGGTTACAAGTAGGGTAGCCTGGCTCAACATCAACAAGTACACCCTAGAGAGTGTGAGTGTCAAAGCTTCGGGTTTTTTGGACTCTCTCCTTCTCAAACAGACAGCTCAAAAAACAGGAGTGGACATTTCCAGCCGCCCTTGAACCCTAGGTCCATACCAAGGGTCCATGGAACTCCCTGAAACCTAAACCCTAAATCCTAAACCCTAAACCCCAACAGACCCTCAAGGTACGTCAGCTCCCTTCTTGCAATGGGCGTGTACGTGGACGATGTCCGGGGCTTCCTGACCAGCTTCTTGGCCACGCCAGCGGAAGCAAGAACCTTAAGAAGTTCTCAAGGAAACCCTAAACCCTAGCCCTCAACCCTAAACCCTGAACCCCAAACCCCCCAAGCCCTTCCCCCCTGCTGACGCAGCATGGAAAATCGTGGGCTAGAGGCTTGACGTATTCGACCCTAAGCCTTTCAAGCAACCCCCAAACCCTAAACCCGAAAACCCCCTTAAACCGTACACCGCCGCAAGCCTGAAACATCTGAAAGTCTGAAAGACCTCAGATTTGGAATCTTGGCACAGCCCAGGCATGTTCAAGCCAGACACGTTCAACGAGCACTGGGCACGGAGCAAGCTGCGCAACAAACAGGACACCCCCACCCCCCAACCCCAAACCCTAAACCCTAGAATTTAGGGTTGAGGGCGCAATGTTGGGGTTTGAGCTTCGTGCATGACCTAAGGAGCTTGGAAACCCGAAGACAGAACCCTAAACCCGAATGTCTTTAGCCCTAAACCCCGGAACCCAGGGTTCAAAGCCTTGAACGACGAAATGTGGAGTTGAGAGTCGGGCAGCTTGGCTTCTCTCTTCTGGGGCCCAACAAACGAGGGTTTAGGGTTTAGGGTTTAGGGTTTAGCTTTTAGCGTTTAGCGTTTAGCGTTTCGGGTACCTCTTCAATCTGAAAGTTTCGGGGTGTGGGGTTTAGAGGTTCTCAGGGGTTCAGGGCTCTGTCAATTATTTGTGTTTAGCGGTTTAGGGTTCAGCGGCTTAGGGGTTTAGACACTCAATTTGGTTGAGGGGTTGGGGGGTTTGGAGTAGGGTTTAGGGGTTTGGGCCTTAGGGATTTTTGATTCATGCTCCGAACCCTAAAGCCTATAGCCTAAAGCCTCAACCCTTCAAGGATCTCTCGAAATGGAGGGCGCTCCACTGGAAGATCAAGGCAGAGCAAGACCGGCTCTCTGGTTGATCCATGCTGGAGTTTAGGGTTTAGGGTTTTGGGTTTTGGGTTTTGGGTTTTGGGCTTAGGGTTTTGGGTTTTGGGTTTTGGGTTTTGGGTTTTGGGCTTAGGGTTTAGGGTTGGGGTTTGGGGCTTGGGGCTTGGGGTTTTAGGGGGTTCAGGGCCAGTTAAGGGGTTTTGGGTTTGGGTGTGTTTGGGGTCTTAATACTCCAGGGTTGCAGGTTCAATTAGGGCTTGAGCTGTTCTTGCCATTCAAGGGGTTCAGAGCTCTGAGACTACGAGGCTTTAGGGGTCTTCTAGGGTAGAGAGTTTAGGGTGAAGGGCTAAGCATACTGCCTGCAAAGGCTGAAAGAAGCCATCAATGCCTTCCTGGCGTTGGATGTACGCCTCAGCATCTATGGTTGGGGTGCAACCCGTTGCCGCTCACCTTAGACTTGGTGGGTTTAGGGCCTTGGTGAGGAATGATGGGTGGAATGTAGGGACTACATAGCAAGTCTACTTTGTCTTACCTAGAAACCCTATGATAATCTCTATACCCCCACCTTACCAACCCTAGTTGCCAAGTAAGGGGCCGCAGTAAGCCCGAAACTCGAAATACCTCCCCAATACTTGGAGCGCAGAGCCTTCTGTACTACAGGCTTCAGGGTCTAGGGTGTAGGGTTTACTGCAGAATGTCGGGCTTATCTTGTTTCTAGGCCCTTGAGTGCGAAGATGGCTTGGGGCTACCGTGTAGAGTAGGCCCTCGTTCCCTATTTTCAAGGGTTCCCTTATGAGCCTGTCTCACACAAGGGCATCTTTTTTGTTCCTAGGCTACTCTTGGGTCACCCTAAACCCCAAACCCTAAACCTGAACCCCTAAACCCCTAAACCCCTAAACACCCCCTGAACCCCTAAACCCCTAAAACCCTAAAACCCAAGGCTACAGCCGCTGGGAAACGCACGACGCGGGCGGCAAGACTTCCCGCCACCGAGTCTATGGACTGCGCCACGTTGCAACCACACCAGCTTATAGAGCTCTTGGGGTTAAGGGCTTGTAGGGTTTAGGGTTTAGGGTTTAGGGTTTAGGGTTTAGGGTTTAGGGTTTAGGGTTTAGGGTTTAGTGGGGTTAAGGGCTTGTAGGGTTTAGGGCCTTTAGGGTTTAGGATTTAGGGTTTCAGGGCTTTTCATACTTCTTGCTGAAGACCCTTCGCCCTGGAACTTTGCGAAACCAAAGCCCCGACACTCCCGGGGAAACCATAACAGCAGCCCGTTGTCGAAGTTCCCTGCCTAGCTGAACCTCAAAGCCCTGGAAAACAACAACCCTAAGCCCCTAAACTATACCCTAAGAACCCTAAAGTATACATCTTAAACTCGGCACCCTCAACGGTACACTAGACCTTAAAGTATGCCCTAAACCTTAAACGAGGCTTTCGGGTTTAGGGCAAGGGCCTCAACCCCTGAAACCCTAACGCCCTAAATAGATTTTGGGTTTAGGTTTCAAAGCTTACAGCTTACTTAGGGTTTAGGGTCCAGGGCTATGGCATGGCTTCAGATTTCAAAGACCGTTTAGGAATGGGCTTCACGCATTCATCTGGGAAGGGAGCCTGTGACGCATCAAGCTCCGATGCAAAGCCGGAAACCAGCCTAAGCCCTACACGAGGACAAGGGTTTAGGGTTTAGCGCTTGGGGCTTAGGGTTCAGCATCTCTTGTCCAAGCATTCACTAGTCAAGCACGTCATCGAGCCCGAAAGAATCCCATAACGTCAAGAAAAATTGTTTACTTACATGTTTATATTCAGGCGACAAGACAGACAACTCTAAAGCCAGCACAGAGTAGGCCCTAAACCCTAAAGCCAGCCCAGAGTAGGCCCTGAGCCCTACAGCCAGCCTAGAGTAGAAATGAACCCTAAAGCCAGTCCGGCCCTGAACCCTAAACCCAGCCCAGAGTAGGCCTTACTGACCTTGCCCAGTAACAAGGCGACCTTGCCCAGCAAAACGGCGACCTTGCCCAGTAAAATCGCGACCTTGCCCAGTAAAACGGCGACCTTGCCCTGCAAGGCCGTGCCTAGTACAACGGCGACCTTGCCCCAATAACTCCCCAACATCTATAGGTAAGAAAGGTTTAGGGTTTGTAGAAATTGTAAAGGGTTTGTGTGCGGAGTTTTGCCGGGTTTTGTTTTTTAAACTTACCATTTAAACTTTCCGATTGGGGGGCTGAGGGACTGGGTGGGTTGTGGGGCCTGCGGCTGGGGGCTTGGCGGGGGGGATGGCTGGGGGCTAGGGGGCTGTTTGGGGGGTTTTGCGGGCTTTGTCGGTTTTTTGTTTTTTGCTTTTCGTGAAGTCTTGCCAGCCTTCGTCATTCTCGTCGAGGACAAGAACGTTGGGGAAAGCAAACGTGGCAGCTGCACCTCATTCTCGTTGAGCATAAGGCAGGCGGCGCGCGGTTTTACCCGTTCTGTCTTGGCCGTCTGGGCAGGAGGGGGGGGGGGGTCGGGCCAACCTTGATTTCATCGACAGTGTCGGCTGGACGCTACTCCCTTCGGGTTGTGATCGGCGGCTGCAACTCTGGTCCTGAGCTTACTGCATCTTGTGGCCTGCGGCGGTGGCAGCATTTCGCGCGGACGGAACCATGGCTGTGGGATCCCAGGCACCATCCACTGCGTCTATTTGGATGTCAGCACGGGCACCAGCGGCGGGGACACTCTGGACAGACACTCCCTGGAGGGCCCAACCTCATGCATGCCCAGGAGTGCTCAACCCCAGAGACTCCCTGAAATCCAAATCTGTAAGGTTGGCATGTTCGAAGTACAAGAATAGTTTTGTCGATTTTCTTGGTTTCTCCTAGGAAAACCACCATATCCTCTATATTTCCAGAGGAATTGGTTCACTTTCTTGGTTTTTCGTACGATAACCTCCATTCCCCCTGTATTTTCACAGGAAATCGTTACTTCTTGTAGGTTTTGACAGGAGAAAAGAGAGGAAGACAGCATGAAAGAAAGAAAGAAAGAAAGAAAGAAAGAAGGAAAGAAGGAGAGAAGGAGAGAAGGAAAAAAGGAAAGAAATAACGAAAGAAAAGAAAAGAAATCAATACATCAAGAAGGAAAGAAAGAAAGAAAGAAAGAAATATTTAGATAAAGAAAGAAACACAGAAGGAAAGAAAGAAAGAAATCAAGAAAAGAAAACAATCAGAACAAGAAAGAAATACAGAAAGAAAGAAAGAAAGAAAGCTTTCTAAGCTTTTTCAATGCTGTGCAAAGCGTTTTTCACAGCAAATGGATATTGTTGAAACCCGTCGTATTTTGGAAGACTCAGCACAGGAGGCCCTGCTGCTCGCGTGTTTGCCTATGCCCTTTGCTCCGCAAAAGGACCTGGCCCAGCTGCTGCGCCGGCCAGGCAAGCTCTTCCTCGACCCGCGGCTGCAGCGGCGCCAGCTGCGGCATTGCGCGCAGACCGCGCAGCAACTCCTGCAGGAAGCCCGAGGTTCAGTGTTTAAAGGTGTTTGGGGGTGTCGGGGTGGTTGTGGTCGTGGTCGTGGTGGTGGTGGTGGTTGTGGTGGTGGTGGTGGTGGTGGTGGTGGTGGTGGTGGTTGTGGTTGTGGTGGTGGTGGTGGTGGTGGTGGTGGTGGTGGTGGTCGTGGTCGTGGTCGTGGTCATGGTCGTGGTCGTGGTCGTGGTGGTGGTGGTGGTTGTGGTTGTGGTTGTGGTTGTGGTTGTGGTGGTGGTGGTGGTAGTGGTGGTCGTGGTCGTGGTCATGGTCGTGGTCGTGGTCGTGGTCGTGGTCGTGGTCGTGGTCGTGGTCGTGGTCGTCTCAAACTTGGGTCTTAACCCAGGGTCTACTATGCTGTTCAAAGCCTCTTTGTGCTTTTCTAGCATTTCCATGACGAATGCCAAAAGACCAGGTGTCTCAGCAGCTTTGGCCTTCAAATATTTGTTGGAAAGTATGTTCAAGGTGAGGTTCCAAACCTAGCAGGGCGGCATGGGGTTTTGGGCTTCAGGCCTCCAACTACCTTTAGGGCTTAGGTTTCAAATGCATCCTCCTGTTTCGCAGTTCGTGGGGGTGACGCCGGGTATCATGAGCTGGAAATGTGGTGCTGAGGTCGCACTGCGTGTTAAGATGTGCATTCTCTGATTCTTTCCGTTCATAGATGCTCTCCAAAGCCGTGAGCTTCAAACAAGCTCGTGCAAACCAGGCAGCAGGGGGTTATGCTGTGGAAGAGCCATGTCCGAGGATGAGGATAAGCTACAGGGTGGGCGACAATTCAGGCGACTGCTCATCGAGAAATATCTAGAGGGAAGCTTCATAGCCTGGGACGCTTGCCTTCTGGCCTATTGGCACACAGAAGCTGGGGGCATAGTGGCTGAGGACCTTGGTCTACATCCTAGTGACGCAAGCAGACATGGAGCCGAGCACTTGAGGCAAGGACGACGAACTCCCCCCCCCCCCACAAGTAAACCCTAAACCCTAAACTGCTCTAAACCCTAAACTCTTAACCCTGTAAACCCTAACCCTTAAACTTCAAAATTCGTTTTGAGGAGGTCACTCGTTTCTCTGATTGCTTTTCGTTTTTTGAACAATCTGGCAGATGCCATCTTCGCAAAGAATACAATGAGCCTGACGTGCAGTGGCTGAAGATTCCCACGCATCGCAAGAAGGACCTCGACCGGACAAGCGTGGACCATCCAACACGAATCCAATCCGATCTTATTCGCAATGAGCTTGTGAGTTTGAAAATGTTGGGGCCTAAACGAGCGAGCGAAACTGCAACAGCTTCTTTCTTGGAGAGCGACCTCGAGTTGGGCGATTTGTACACCAAACATCCTGTGTATATTCAAGCAGTTGCAGAGGGTTTTTCGCCAGAGCACATAGTCCCCGTGTCGGGGTATTTCGATGGTGCGCAATATACCAAAAGCGAGAACTTCCTGGGCTTCTATATCACAAATCTTCGGACGAAAAAACAACGACTCGTGTGGCTTTTGAGTGGCATGCCTGCTATAGCTGGAGCTGTCTGGTTCGCTCGTGCAAAGGGTTCCTTGCTTTTGTTTCTGGTCATCCGATTCGACCCAGGACTCACCGATCTTTGCCAATGTGGCTGCCGCGGGTGGTGCAGTGTCTTCCTCTACTTGACTTTTTCAGGGCCGACGTATCCAAGCAACACTCCGATTTGCGAAGATGTGTCTGTGACTACAAGGCCGACTGGCCGGCTCTTGTTGAAATATGGGCCCTGAGGACATGGTCTCACAATACACACTGCTGCCCATGTTGTATGGTCACGAAGGAGGACATGACAAAGGTGGGCAGCTTTTCCTTGGCAGCATTGCCCTTTTCCAATCTTGTGGGGGGGGTGGGGGGGGTGGGGGGGGGTGGGGGGGGGGGGGGGTGGGGGGGTGGGGGGGCGGGTGGGGGGGATTTCGGTCGGGGAACCAATGTGTTGGGTGGCAGTGGGGTAGGGGGTTTGGGGGGGTGTTTTGGGGTCGAAATTTTCAATTTAAATTGAAACACTACAATTTCTATTAATCCTGGCCTTGAGGGTTTAGGGTTTAGGGTTTAGGGTTTAGGGTTTAGGGTTTAGGGTTTAGGGTTTAGGGTTTAGGGTTTAGGGGTTGCGCGCGGGTTTGTGGCCGAAACACTCCCAAACCCCAAACCCGACCACAAGCAACCACGGGAGGTGGAAGAGCCCACGAAGGCCCTACAAAAGGTAAGTGGGCCCCAAGCCCGCGGGCTTCTGGTTTACACTTCGGGTTTTCTGGCTTAGAGCTTGGGGGGTTCGGGGGTTTAGGGTTTAGGGTTTATATACGGGCTGGTTTTGGGGTTTAGGGTCCCAGGCGCCTCAACCACAACGCGGTCGAGTTCGACAAAGTGCTGGGCCTGTGGTTGGAGCCGGAGGGCATTCTGGACAGGCGTGTCTTTGGGAGGGTGTATCGGTGCTGGATTGGGATTTAGGGTGTTGGGTTTGGGTTTAGTTTTCCGGTTTGGGGTGGCTGCTGCCATTGTAGCTCGTCTTTGGTAAAACTTTGCCTTCGCCTCGAGAGAAGCCCAAGCCTTAAGCCTTTACACCCTCAAGCCCTCATGCCCTGGCCCTGAAATCCAAAAGCCGTACGTACCTTATTTCTTCAAGCCACAATGACCCCAAGCCCGAAACCCGCAATGAGTACTGCGTGCCTAAAGAGACTTGAAGCGACTTTCCTGGATTGTCTTAGCTGAGCCTCAGTCAACAACATCCCGAAAGAGTTTCCGGTTTAGGGTTCAGGTTTTAGGGTGCAGGCTCTGGGTTCAAGGTTGAGGCCTTTTTAAAGGGCTTAGGGTTTAGGGCTTGGTCTTGGGGTTCAAAACCTCAAGGGGTTGTCTTAACCGCTGAACCTCTGGACAGGCAGGCTGCAACCTTCATCCGCGCTACCTGGTCGGGGTACTATGCACGGTCGAGGCGGCTCTCGCTTAGTGGGCTTCGGGTTTCGGGTGTAGGGCAAGCCAAAAGCCCTACATCTCTGTTAGCCCTAAACCCTAAAATAAACCCTAAACCCTAAACCATAAACCCTAAACCTTAAACCCTAACCCTGAAGCCCACAAAAGCATGAAGACCTGAATAGCTCCCGCCTCAAGCTCGCAGGCGTCTGGGAAGGGAAGATGGGCATCTTGGATTCCGAAGGCATCTTGCGGTTCAGGGTTCCGGGATACGTAAACCTCTATAGATCCTAAACCCTAAACCCTAAACCCTAGACCCTAGACCCTAGACCCTAGACCCTAGACCCTAACCCTAAACCCTAAACCCTAAACCCTAAACCCAAACCCTAAACCCCAAACCCCAAACCCCAAACCCCTAAATCGAAACCACTTTGCATCTTCAAGGTTGCGCATTGCAAGGTATTACAAATTTTGAATGACCTGGGCCAGGCTTCAAGGCTTTAGTTCTTGCTTAGGGTTTAGGGTTTAGGGTTTAGGGTTTAGGGTTTAGGGTTTAGGGTTTAGGGTTTAGGGTTTAGGGTTTTGGCGTTTGGCTGTTGGGTTTAGGGTTTAGGTTCAGGGAACCCATAGCCCACGTAGAAGTTTGTAACTGCCCGTTAACCTTCAAGTAGGGCCTTGGGCAACACGCATCTGCTGTTTCGTTGAGCAGTACTGACAAGTGTTTCGGCCTTTCTGGCTAGGTTAAGAGTTACGAGTGTAGGGCTTCGGTGGGCAACCCACTTCTAGCACCCTAATTCTGAACGCAAAGCCCTAAACCCTAAACCCCCGTAAGCCTTCAAACTTAGGACCTTGAGCAGTTAAACTCTCCGAGCATTGCGAAATCCCCTCAGTAGATTCTGGAGTGGCCAGAAAACCCGCCCAAACCAACAATATGCTCAGGAACGATCTCCGACGAGAAGTTTCTGTCGAGGAGGTGGTGGCCCGCTTTCAGACGCTTCTTCACCTCCTGGCCGCATCACAGCTGCCCGTTCGTGTGACAAGTTTCGGGTTTAAGAGTTTAGGGTTTAGGGTTTAGGGTTTAGTGTTACTGGGTGGCCTAGTGGTGCCCTGTTCCCTTGGTTTGAAACTAACCAACCCAAGAAAGGGTGCCCTTGCTATAATCTGGTTACTGGGCTAACGAGAGGGGTTTGGGTGGAGGGGTTTGGGTTTAAGGTTTCGGCTTCGGAGATGTCGAGGCTTAGCTCTTATTATTTGCGAGAAAGCAGTTGCCCAAAACCCGAAACCCGAAACCCTAAACCCTAGACCGGGGGGGTGGGGGGAGTAAGGGGTGCAGCAGAGCTTGTGGCGCTTGATGGCTTTTGCATTTGCGAGTCCGAACACATAAAGAAACCGTCAACCTCAAGACCCTGAAGATTGGGGTTTAGGGTTTAGGGTTTAGGTTTTCCGGTAAACCCTATAATCCTCCCAAGACGCTGGCAACCCTAAACGTTTCCCAGGATGGGTCGGGAAGACGCTGCGTGGCTCAGGCCCCATGTGGAAAAGGCTCGCCTGCGTGTTTGCGCGAGGTCCTTTGTGCTCGCTTGGCGTTAAGCCTTGTGTGGGTCTCGGGCTTGGGGTTGTTGTTCGCTGGCAGTTTTGGTTCGTGGACTTTGCATGGTTTTCGGGTTCAGATGGTTGAGGTTGCGAATTTGGATTCCTTTGAGGTTTAGGCATCCAATATTACTAGTCAAAAGAGCTTCTCTTTGTAAGTAGGGTAGTAAGCTGGGGTTTATGGGGATGATCATTGGGTTTCTGTAGACTTACTAAGCCAAAAGAGCTTCCAAGCAGGCCATGGCCGCCATGATGGAGGGAATCCGCAAAGAGACCACGCTCCTCGCAGCGACGGCGTACAACCCCACACAGAAGGATCAGGATGAGGCTGCCGGAAGGTTGCTTCGGGGCTTCATCTCGGGTTTAGGGTTTAGGGCTTAGGGTTTAGGGTTTAGGGTTTAGGGTTAGGGTTTAGGGTATAGGGTCTGTAGGGTTTAGGGCCTGTAGGGCCGCTCCTGGTGGTCGTTTAGTCGTTTAGGGCTTCGGGGTGAAGAAGGCTTAGGTCCGAGGTAGGAGAAGGGGTGCCCTTAGAAGGGAGCCCTTCTGAACCCTCTTCTGGCTCTCCTAAGCATTATTCCGAGGGTCTATATCCCCAAAGGTGCCCCTAATCCTATCCCGTATAGGGTATAAGAGTCTTAAGTAGGGTTTCGGGTTTAGTGTAGGATACAAGAATCCCACTCTTATATAAACAGCCACTGCCCAACCGAAACTGTCAGCATCTTTGGGGTTTAGGGTTCACAGGATTTCAGTGTCTATCGGCGGCTTTGGAATGTGAAAGCGCAGCACTGTGCCCTTCAAATCTCAGGTTTCGGGGTTTCCCTAAACCCGAAGCCCCATTTGGGGTTTGGACTGAACGTTGTCTCACCTGTCTATGGAGTGGAGATCCCAACGCCTCGAAGTCTGGGGTTTTGCCCCTACTTGAGGTTCACGACCAGTTCAATCGCTAGTTTGCTTCAGGGTTCAGGGTTTTTCCCCAACCGCAAAAGCCCTCATGCGAGGCGTGCATGACGATCCTGAGGAACGTCGCCAAAGCCATGCTGGATGCGTCGGTGCATATGCAGAATCTCAGGGAGTGTCTCGGTGTGCCAATTTTTGGAATATCCTAAAGCCTAAGGACTTTCCCCCTGTTGGTTCAACATCCAAACCTAAACCCTACACCCCTAAACCCTAAACCCTAAAACCCTAAAACCCTAAACCCTAAACCCTAAACCCTACACCCTAGGCAGGCCTTCGAAAACCTTCTGTGGATGGCCGCGCACCGCAACGACGCCGTGAGAATTGGTGGCATGAAGCTCCTCAACGAACTCTTCCCGACGGAGGACTCTGTCGGGGTTTGGGGTTCAGGGTTTAGTGGGGTTTAGGGTTGAGCGTTTTTAAGTCTAAGGGTTTAAACGGTTTGGGTAGGGTTCAGCGTTTAGGGTTTAGGCTTAACGGTTTAAGCCAGTTTAAGCGGCTTCGGAGTTGTGGTTTAGGGCTTAGGCATGAGGGTTTAAGCGTTGCAGGGTTCAGGGTCGCAGGACTGTCAGGGTTCGGGGTTTTAGGACTTAGGGTTTAGGGCTTAAACGTTTGAGGGTTTGGAGTTTGGCGTTATGGGTAAGAAAACGGTGTAGGGTTTAGGTTTTAACGGTTTAGGGTTTATATGGTGTAGGGTGGTTTAGGGTTTAGGGATTAAACGGTTTAGGGCTTGGGGTTCGGGGGATACAGTAGTGGCCTCAAGCAGGAACTGCCTTGTTTTGGGTTCTCTCTTGCTTTTTGCACCCCAGAAAGTTGAATGAAAACTCTGCGTGCGGTGTGGCTCCTGGTCTGTTGTAAAGTATCCAACCCCAAAAAAAAGTACCCTTATCGTGGCATGCTTACTGGGGTACCAATGTATTGCTGTTCTTCTCAACCCAATTCTCAGCCTATGAGAACTGAAGGAGCTTCTAAGTGGGTTATAACTACATTTATCACTGGGTTGTGAGTACCCCGCACAGAGGAGAGGACCACCCAGCTGATGGAGATGCCTGGGACGGACTGGCCACACATGCACATGCACTCCAAGTCGCAAGCTGCGAGTCCAAGCAGCGACCACTCCACGCCTCCCATCTCCGAGATCCCGTCACTCGGGGCCGAACCCGCAAGGGGTTTAGTTTAGTACGTTCGGGTTTTGGGGTTTGGGGCTTAGGGTTGAAACCCGAAAACCCAGACACCGAAGCGCCAATTTGGTTTTTGTTAGTGTTTTGGGGGGTTTGATTCGGGTGTCGGGTTGAAAGACCCTAAAACCCTCGGCAACCCTAAACCCCTTGAACCCTAAAACCGCAAGCAAGCCTAAACCCTAAAACCCTAAAAGCCTAAACTCCCTGAAGCCTCTGACAACCCCGAACTAAAGCCTTCTGCCCTGAACCCTAAACCCTAACCCCGAAACCCTCTAGACCCTAAACCCTAGACCCTAAACCCTAAACCCTAAACCCTAAACCCTAAACCCTAAACCCTAACCCTGATGTGTTAGGGCTTAGGAAGCTGAAGAGCTAAGGAGCAGCCTTCCCTCCCCTCGTCGCCTGGTGGAGAAGAGCCTCTCGACCTGAAGGGCGTAGGGCTGCTTAGGGTTTAGTAGGGTTGTTTAGGGTTTAGGGTTAGGGTTTAGGGTTTAGGGTTTAGGGTTTAGGGTTTAGGGTTTAGGGTTTAGGGTTTAGGGTTTAGGGTTTAGGGTTTAGGGTTCAGGTTTAGGGTTTTTGGGTTTTTGGGTTTTGGGTTTTGGGTTGTTTAGGGCTTTGCACTGGGGGCTTTGCACTGGGGGCTTGTTACGGCTTGGGGCCTGATGGTTCAGGGTTGCCAACCCTCTGGAAATGAGAAGGGCTCGCCCTACATCCTTAACCCTGCTAGGGTTTAGGGTTTAGGGTTTAGGGTTTAAGGTTTAGGGTTTAGGGTTTAGGGTTTAGGGTTTAGGGTTTAGGGTTTAGGGCAAATCCGGTCTTTTCGCTGTAGCGACCAACCCTACACCCAAAACTCGGGGCACCATTCGCAGACCCTTCAATTGAAACAAAGCGCTTCTTTCAGCACAAACCGACTGAACCCTGAACCCTAAACCCTACATACCCTATACACCCTCCACACCCAAGTTTCACCTTCAACTTTCAACCAGCTACCCTAAACCCGGAAGCCTGAAGCCCAGAACCGTAAGGTGTGTCGCTTTAGGGTTCAGGGGCTTGGGGCTTAGGGCTCAGAGGTTAGGGTTGGTTTAGGGTTTAGGGTTTAGGGTTTAGGGTTTAGGTTTAGGGTTTAGGGTTTAGGGTTTAGGGTTTAGGGTTTAGGGCTCTTGAGGTCGAGGTTTCCTTGGCAATCCCGTGGCACTTCGTCAGGAGCATCCTGGCGCATTCCATCAGCCGAGTCCCACCCCGAAGACCTCTAAGTTTTATGGCTTTTGTTAATCCCCTCCCCTTTTTTGAAGGGCCCCCCCCTACCCCCTAAAACTAAAAACCGCCAATTATTTTTTATAATGGGGGTATTTAACATTAGGGGGAAGGGGTTAACGTAAGGCGCAGACTTTAGCTTTTAGCGTTTAGGCCCCTCAAACCTTCTGAAGGCCCAAGAAGTGTTCTCTGCTTACGGTTGAGACCCTAAACCGTAAACCCTAAACCCTTCTAGTCCAGAACCTGGCCTTGAGACCTTTGTCCCTGAGGCCTGTGAGGCCTTAAGAGGCTAAGCCAAACCCTAAACACTAATACGAAATCATAAAGCCCAAGCCCTAAACCCTAAACCTTAAATAGACCCTAATCCCTTTGCAGTTCAACGGCCGTCCAACGGATTGGGGGCCTACGTGCTTTGGGGTTCGGGCTTTGGAGCTTTAGTTTGACTGCTGGGGTCGCTAGAATCACGTTGGTTGTCCCTGGCATGTTTTCTAAGTCAATTGTTGGTATCATTCTAGGATGGAACCAGTGTTGTCGCGAATACAATCTGCTACTATTGTTGGTACCATGCTGTTGCTGCTGTGGTGCATTTGTTCTGGCGATGATATTCTGAATGTTAGAATTTGTGTCTAAGTCTAAGCCCTAAAAAAATATACCCCTAGGCCATCTTCGGCTGTTCGGACCATCTCCGACATAATTCGCGTTGCTTCCGAAACCGCATTTGCCTTCAGATTGTTTCCTCCCAAGGGCAATTAGGGGGTAATGCAAGCACCCTGCGGCCAAGGGAGGATGATGTGCCAATAGCCGGGCGGCACATCCTTTTCGAGCATTACCGCATCGGCCCGGACGAGTGGTGACCAGACCTGAAAACATGTGATTGCAGGGCGCAGGCCGCGTTCAAAAATGGCTGTTGAGCCGCTAATTTGCAGCATGAGGGCCGTGGCACAAGGTCACCCCGAGCCAGAGGCTAAGCCGCTACCGCTTGGGGCGCTTTGTTCCAAAACTTTTAAACTTTAGATTGAATTTTAAACCCCCGAAGAGCCCCCTCGATCTCCCATAGGGAGACAAGATTGCGACCCGTTTGCAGCTTTCCCTTTCAAGGGACTAAACAAGACACCCTTATAAGGGACCTTAGGGGCGATTCAGGGGCTACTGAGGTATATCGGGACTATATAAGGGTATATCTAGGGGTTATATAGGAGGGGTCCCTCCTTAAACCCCCCTTACTCTGGAAGATTCACGGCCGACTCCTCAAGTAGGGTTTGGATGTTCCGCAATGACAAGTTGCCTAAATTTGAGGTCAGAATATAGCAGACCCTACGACTAACCTGACTTCCAAGAAGTATTCGGGTTCAGAGCTCCCTAAACCCTAAACCCTAGACCCTAAACCCGAAACCCTAAACCGCTGAATTTCGGGTTTTGCCAATGAACCTTCAAAGCCGGGCTCCAGCCAAAGGCATGGAGCCCACCGCAAGTCGGTCCGCGAGAATTACGTGCGCCGCGCGCCGCAAAAAAGTGCAGAGTTCAGGATTTAGGGTTTAGGGTTTAGGGGGCTTTAGGGGTTTTAGGGCTTTAGGGGCTTTAAGGGTATTAGGGTTGTAGGTTTTAGGCTTTTAGGGTCTGGGGTTTCGGGCTTTGGCTGTGGGATTAGAGTTTAGGCAAAGCCCGCAGCCAATCTCGGCCGACATAGATACAACCCCACGCCCTAAATCTAGATCTCCCCTTTGAATCATGGGTTCCCTTACACCCCCCCTCTATACTACTTACCCAGTTCAAAACAAGATCACGTAGAATATGCAATAAATATATATATATATATATATATACATATATATATATATATACACTACCCGCCCCCATACACATATATATATATATACATACATACATACATATATATATATGATTCAGCCCCGGCGGGCCCCCCCCCCCTCCCCCCTACCCCCACCCCCCCCCCCCCCAATGGTACCCCCCCCCCCCCCTGTTTTACGGTTTTTTAGGGTTTGTTTAGGGGTTGGTTTTAGGGTTTTAGGGTTTAGGGTTTAGGGTTTAGGGTTTAGGGTTTTAGGGTTTTAGGGTTTTAGGGTTTAGGGTTTAGGGTTTACGGTTTAGGGTTTAGGGTTTAGGGTTTAGGGTTTAGGGTTTAGCCCGCGGATGGGGTACTAAGATGATCCCCCCCCCCCTGTGGTGTGGTTGGGGGTTGGTTTTAGGGTTAGGGTTTAGGGTTCAGGGTTTTAGGGTTTAGGGTTTAAGGTTTAAGACTTAAGGTTTAGGGTTTAGGGTTAGGGTTTAGGTTTTAGGGTTTAGGGTTTAGGGTTTACGGTTTAGGGGTTTAGGGTTTAGGGTTTAGGGTTTAGGGTTTAGGGTTTAGGGTTTAGGGTTTAGGGTTTAGGGTTTAGGGTTTAGGGTTTAGGGACCGTAGAGTAGGCTTGGGGGGGGGGGGGGGGCCCAGGACGCTCGACGCTGAACCATATATATATATATGTAAATATGTATAATGTAGTATATAGAACGTGCATGCATACATGCATGTAAGACAAAAAAGACTCACGTCGCAGCCTCATCTGCCAGACCCGGCAGGGAGCTTGCGTCACATGTGGGGTGATTCGACAGGGATCCTGATTCGTTAAAGAGTAAACCCCAAACCCTAAACCCCAAACCCTAAACCCTGAATGGACGAAAGCCGCGATCTTCAACTTCATTCCAGCGCCCCGAATGAGGGTCACCAGGGGCCTTGTGTTTTCCGCTCCAGGATACCTGATCCCTAAACCCTAAACCCATTAGCAGTTCCTGAGTCTTCTCAGTCGTGGAAGAAGGGGCCCTGCCCTGTAGTTCGAGGCTGCTGGCAGCTATTCTGGGGGTGATGAACGTTTCAACTCCAGGGTCCCTGAAGCCCGGTTTAAGGTTTAGGGTTTAGGGCTTAGGGCTTAGGGTTTAGAGCTTAGGTTTTAGGGTTTTAGGGTTTAGGGTTTAGAGCTTAGGGTTTGTGAGCTGCGAGGTTCTAGAGGAGCACTTGGTAGGCCCTTTGGATTTCTGTTCCTTTCCCCTATTGTGTTCAATAATCCGTATTAGGAATATATTTTCAGAGGGTTTGCCGTTCAGGATATTTTCGGGTGCGGGGCTCAACTTATGTCTTGGGGATTTGGGTTTCAAAAGGTAGCAGCCTAAGTACTTGCCAATAGCACGCCCGGCCTACAGTTTGGGGGAGTTTGGAGGTCTTCGGAAGTCAGGCGTCGGTTCAGCTGTCCGTACGACTCATTTTAGGCCCGGGGCATATGGGAAATCGCATCAGCTCTAAACCCTACAGACCCTGAGCCCATCTATGCCCTACAGTCTTCAAAGGTTCTGAAGTGTGGGTGCTTGCGCGTTGTAGGGTCCTTGAAGGGGCCATGCAACTACTCTAACTAGCCCTTAAAACTTAAAAGTGCACTTTTTTATTGTTACTCCTGTGTCTACCCTAAGACCTGCTCCATGTACCTCTACACAGCCGTTGGGCTCGAGAAGCAGCGGGTTTCGTGTAGGAGCCGCTGGACAATGCCGCTTGAGTTGAACTCAGTGTAGGGTTTGTAGGGTTTAGGGAAGCCTTGCGGGATTTCACGGGGATTGGGGCATGGTGTAGGCTCCGGAATCCTAACTCTAAAACCAAGCAATGCTGGTTCTCTTGTTAAGGAGCCTCTGCCAGGTTGTACCAAAAACAAGGTTATGTGTGGGGATGATCCCTCTTATAACAGTCCTTGCTAGGATGATAGTACCCCCCGATTATAATCCCGTTTAAGGACTGTTAGTATAAGGGAGAGCATCTATGGTAACTCAATGTGGTCATACTGGGCCTAGAAGCCCTTACTAAAATTTGACTCTTGCCATCTTGTTTAGGGTTATGGGCCATCAAAATCGGCCGAAAACTCTTCAAGCCCTATCAAAATCGGCCCATGATTGACTTGGAAGCCCTTTTGACTCAGTAAGTAGGGTCAGCGAGGCGGGTTCGGGTTTTTGGGGGGGCAGTAAGTCGACTTGCTAAGCCAAAAGATCTTCTAAGTTACCCTGAACCCCTACACACTAAATCCTAAACCCTAAACCCTAAACCCTAAACATCAAAATTGGCCCACAAGTAGCAACCCCAAGCCAGCTCAGGTTAAGATTTGGGCGGGTGCAGGGCGCTGTGCGCCTCGCGGCGAGGACCAAGGGCAAGGCCCTAAACCCTAAACCCGAAGCTTACCCTAAGAACCCTGAACCCTAAAACCGGAGGGGGGTGAAGGGTTCAAGGTGTTTCGGGTCGTGCCCTCTCATCACTGACACACCTCACCCCAGGAGGGGCGCTCCCCCACCCCCAAGTTACAAGATAGGTTAGAAGGGCAGTAGCAAGAGTTATGTTAAAGGTCTAACTATTTAATTGTCTGGGCTTTACTTTGCTTAAGCAAACGATAGTCTTTCATGTTCGGAAAATGTGTTTTCTTTTGGCGGTTTGTGATTTGCAGTCTTTCAGCTCCTTGGCGTCGCAAACGAGAGCACAGGATGTTTATTTCTCGTTTTGGAAAACCATCAAAAACACAAACTTGATCTTGTCTTGTTTTGATCATTTCTCCATGTTCGACATCGCAGTTATTTTGTTGAACGCTCCTCTTGAACATATGCTTGAATGCTTAGGAGTGTACTGGACGAACTTTCGTATCCTTGACAACTTTTGTAAAGGTTTTTTGTTTTGTTTTGAATTTGCACGTGAGAGTTTTCAAACTGCATTTCGCGTTTTTCTCCATGCCGCGACATGCGGCTCGGGAAGTGTACCCTAAACCCTAAACCCTAAACCCTAAACCCTAAACCCTAAACCCCCGGGCAGGTTCTGCAGCATCATTGGCTCGACGCGCACTACCAGAAGCCGAAGAAGGCCCTGGATGCTCGAAGCCAGCAATGAACGTTTAGGGTTTAGGGTTTGTTGGGGGGGTTTGGTTCTAAGGCGCATTAGGGGGTTTTTCGCGGGGTTCATGTTTTAGGTGTAGGTGGTCTACTGTTTGCTTGCGACTTTGTATTTTGGAGCTTTGAGCCGTCGTGTTTCAGGGTTTGGGGTTTTAGGCTTTTGGTTTATGGGGGGTTTGACTTGACTTCTAGGTCGTACTGCTGGGATTACGGGGCTGATCAGTATTTGTGGGATCTCTGAAACAGTCTACTCCTTCTAGTTTAGGATACCACTAAGGGCCCATAATGAGATCAACATCCAGGCTTCAGTAAGGCCTCTATAACTACTCCCAACCCACCTGGAACTTTCCGTTGCAGGGGCCAACATTCCATAAAGTGCCCTGCCTTAGAACAAGTCGGGAAATGAAGACAGCAACATGAGCAGCCCAAATCAAGTAGGATTTCGGGGTTTAGGGTTCAGGGTGGAACAAGGTAGGAGCCTTTGAGGCTTCTCCAGGCTTGCGAGGTCTGCAATAATTATTCGAGACTCCAAAAAAGGACCAATGCCCCAGCCAAACCCCCATAAACCAAAAGCCTGAATCCCTAAACCCTGAAACACGACAGCTCAAAGCTCCAAAATACAAAGTTGCAAGCAACCAGTAGACCACCTACACCTAAAACATGAACCCCGCGAAAAAACCCCTAATGCGCATAAGAACCAAACCCCTCAGAACGAGGCGGGGACACCACCCTCTTTGGATCCCCTGCCAGCGGCTCCCAAACCCCAAACCCCAAAACCCCAAAACCCCAAAACCCCAAAACCACAAAACCCCAAAACCCCAAAACCCCAAACCCCAAACCCTAAACCCTAAACCCCCATTCCCAGCACTCTGCAAGTGGCCAACTCAAGAAACTCCAAAAAAGAGTAACCTCTTAAACCCTAAAGCTTGGGATGTTCGTCCCTTAT